ATATATATATAAATATATATATATATATATATACATATAGATTTATATATATTTTACACATTATATATACATTATATATATGTATAGATGTATTTATATTAAACAGAGAAATAGTATGGGTACTAGTGTAATACAATATATATATGCATATATACATGCATATATATATACATATATATATATATACATATATATATACATATATGTATGTATATATATATTTATATATACATATATATATATATATATACATATATGTATGTATATATGTATATGCATATGTATATATATACATATATATGTATATTATATCTATTATACATATAAATAAACAAATATATATAAATATATATATATATATATATACATTCTTTAGTTTACCTTCTGGTTCGGGTGCGAGTGCCGTGAGGTTGGGTTGATAAAAAGAATGAAAGGGCAGCAGAGACCGCAGCACTTCTTCTAAACAAACAAAACCCTCTGAGCGCATGCGCCGACGACGCTTCCGGGGGCCCCCCTTCTCAGCAGCAGCAGCAGCAGCTGCTGCTGCTGCAGGTGCTGCAGGTGCTGCAGGTGCTGCAGCAGAAGCAGGGGCTGCTGCAGTTGATGCAGCAGAAGAAGCAACAGGAAGAGACGCTGACGCATCGCTCGGCTGCTGCTCTCTCCCTTCTTCCTCTACACTCATTGACTCAGGCGCTGCTGCTGCTGCTGCTGCTGCTGCTGCTGCTGCTGCTGCTGCTTCTGCTGCCTCCGCTGTAGCTGGGGTCTCAGCAGACACTGCAGCCTTCCCTGCGTCAGTCTCTTTAGAGACAGCCGAGACAACTGTCTCCTCCCCCTTCACATCTGGGGCCTCTTTGGGGGCCCCTCCTTCTTCTTTAACTTTCTCTTCCTCTCTTTGTTTGTCTCCTTCGTCGCTGTCTTCTCTAGACGGCTGCACATCTACACACACCCCTTCTATAGGAGGGGCCCCCTCTATTTTAGGGGCCCCCTCTATTTTAGGGGCCCCCTCTGCTGATGTCTCCTCTCCTGGGGCCCCCTCCATGGGGGCCCCTTCCTCTTTGGGGGCCCCCTCTATAGGGGCCCCCTCAGTGGGGCCCCCTTCTTTGGGGGCCCCCTCAGTGGGGCCCCCTTCTTTAGGGGCCCCCTCCGTGGGGCCCCCCTCTGTGAGTCCCCCGTCTTGGATTTGTTTATGTGTGTGTGTGGGTTGCTGTTTATATATTCGTCTATGTTTATGTTTATATTTAGCTGTTGTAAGAACAGTGAAGGGGGAGAAGGAGCGTAAGACATCCGCTAAGACATAACGTTTGTCTTCTGTAAAGGCCTCTCTGCTGCGGTGTCTCCGAGCAGCACACAGCATCTCAAATTTCTTTAAGCTGTCCAATATGCTGCTGCTGTCTCTCTTGCTGCTGCAGAGAGACACACTCACGCCTCCCCCACTGCCGTAACGCCGCCGGTACCAAGCAGCAAGGCCCTCCAGAGGCTCCCCGGGTTGTCGCTGCTGCTCCTCTTCTGCTGCTGCTGCTGCTCCTGCTGCTCCTGCTGCTGCTGGTGCTCCTGCTGCTGCTGCTCCTGCTGGTGCGGGGGCGGCTTGGGACGGGGAGTCTGTCGCAGCTGCTGCTGCTGCTGGGGAAGGACTGCTAATGCTGCTGTCCTCAAGAGACACAGGGAAGGTAAGAGATGTGCCTGCTGCTGCAGCAGCAGCTGCTGCTGCTGCTGTTGCTGCTACTGCACTGTTGGGAGGATGGGAGAGAAGCGGAGCAGCGCCAGCTGTTGGCGCTGCACCTGCTGCCGGGACCGCAGCAGCTGCTGCAGCAGGAGCAGCAGCAGCAGCTGCAGCAGCAGCAGGAGGCGCTAGCTGGGGAGACATGAATAAGCCGGGTGTCTGTACAGCAGCAAGGTGAGGAAAGAGAGGAGGCAGCAGCAAAGGGTCTTCATAAGCAGCAAGTGGCGGGAGAGAGAAGAGGCCCCCTACCCGGGTTTGCTGCAGCAAATAAGAAGCTTGAGGCAGGGGTAGGGGCCCCCCCCCTGCGAGGCCCTTGAGAGGCATGGGGGCGCCCCCTAGTGCAGCAGCAGAAGCAGCAGCAGCAGAAGCAGCAGAAGCTGTATTCGATGCTGAGGACCCCACAACCCCTGGGGCTGCTGCTGGCGGACAGACAGAGACAGATGAATCCTGCAGAGACACTGGGGGACGGCTGCTGCTGCTGCTGCTGCTGTTGCTGCTGCTCGCTGGAGCAAACAAACCCTGGAGGCCCCTCTGAGCCGACGCAACTGCAGCACCAAACAAAGCGAGGCGCTGGCTTAGTTCTGCTGATGCTGCTCCTCCTGCTGCTGCTGCTGGGGTGGCTGCTGAAGCTGCTGCTGCAGGTGCTGCTGCTGCTGCCGGTGCTGTTCCTGCTGGTGATGCTGCTAGGGTTGCTGCTGCTGCTGGTGGTGGTGCTGCTGCACCAACACCAGGAACGACAGACAAACCGCCGCCTCCTGCTGCTGCTGCAGGAGTAGCAGCAGTTGCTGCTGCTGCTGTTGCAGGAGTAGCAGCAGTTGCTGCTGGAGCGGCAGCAGTTGCTGCTAACGAGGGAGCCACCACCGCAGGAGCTGTCTGTACACCTGACGGCGCAAATAATCCTCCTGCTGCTGCTGCTGGCGCTGCTGTTGCTGGTGCTGCTGCTGGAGTTGGTGGTGTTGCTGCTGCTGCTGCTGCTGCGGGTGCTGTTGCTGCCGCGGGCACTGCCGATGTTGAGGATGCTGCTGCTGGTAGTGGTGCTGCTGCTGCTGCTGCTGCAGCCACTGGTGGCGTTGCAGCTGCTGCAGGTGCTGCTGGCGTTGCTGCTGTTGAAGCAGCTCCAGAGGGGGCACCAACCGCAGGGGCAAGTGCTGCTGCTTCCGCGGGTGTCGTCTCCCTCGCAGCAGCAGCAGGAGCAGCAGCAGCAGCAGGAGCAGGAGCAGCAGCAGCGTGCTGCTGCGCCGGTGAGTTCTGATCCATTGCCGGTCTATGCTGCAGCAGCAAGCTGAATAATTCTAAGGGGCCCCCGATGAGGCTGAGGGGCCCCTAGGGGGGCCCTTCGTCCTGCTTGACTAGAAACGCGCCTTGCTGCTGCTGCTGCTGCTGCTGCTGCTGCTGTTGCTGTTGTTGCTGCTGCTGCAGCTGCTGTTGTTGCTGTCGAAACAAGAGTCCTAAAGGATTAAAAGAACTCCAACAGGGGGGCCCTCTGCCGCCGGGCAGAAGGTGTTAATAGTGTAGTGACAGACGCATGCGTCTTGCTGCTGCTGCAGCAACAACAACAACAGCAGCAGCTGCAGCAATCTGCAAGGAATAAACTCTCGACCTGGAGATGAAACGGTTGGTAGCGAACTCTTTCGTAGAGAAAGGCCCCAGGGGCCACCGCATGCTGCATGCTGCTGCTGCTGCGGCTGCTGCTGCTGTTCTGCTGCTGCTGCTGCTGCTGCAGCAGCAGGAGGGGTATTATATTATGTCTCGAGCGGTACTACAGGCTTTTCTTTGCAAGTATTTTTATAAATAACAATTAAATTTACACGTCTATTGCTCCTTAATAATCTTAGGGGTTTTTAGTTTGCTGCTGCTGCGACCCGCTGCAGCGCAGCAGCACAGCGGCAGCCTAGCGGGAGCAGCAGCAGCAGCAGCAGCAACAGCAGAGCAGCAGCGGCGCTGCAACAGCTGCTTCTCCAGCTGCTGCGATCACTCTAATGACTCAAAAATAGCAGTTCTAAGGAGACAGGAGACAACGAGCAGAGACAAGCGGTACAGACAGACAGCAGAGATAAACAGCGGAGACAGCTGCAGCACAGCAGCAGCAGCAAACAGCTAGGAGGTCTCCTTCAAGCCTCAGCGCCTCCTCCGGCGAAGAACCCCCCTCACGTTGACCTCAAGGGCTCGCATTTCCTCTCTCTGCTGCACCTACGTGTCCTTGCTGCAGCAGCAGCAGCAGCAGCTGCAGCAGCAGCAGCTGCAGCAGCAGTAGCTGCAGCAGCAGCTGCTGCTGCAGCAAATACACTTGTGTGACAGTAGTTTGTACACCGATCTGAATATTAAACAGCAGGGGGTCTCTAGGGGCCCTCGAACACCTAGGCTCTCGGACTGCAGCAGCAGCAGCAGCAGCAGCAGCATCTGTTGCTGCTGCTGCTACAGCAGCAGAATAGGGAAATGAATGCTTCGCTGCTGCAGGAACCTCCCTTTGAATGCGAAGTGTATGCAGACTATCTGCGTCTGGTGCAGCGACGGGCTGGCGGTGCTGAGGTGTACATACACCGCATTGACTCTGCTGCAGCGCCCCCCCACGACAGCAGCAGCAGCAGCAGCAGCAGCAGCAGCAATGGGGAGAATGGTTCCTGCTTGCGCGTGTCTGCTGCTCGGCCAGCAGCAGCTGCTGCTGCTCAGCAGCAGCGCCTCGAGGCCTTCTGCTGCTGGGGGGTATTTGGGGTGTATGCAGAGCCCCGCGGCGGCTGTTTGCTGCTGATAGAAACAGCAACATGCAGAGGAAAAGTAGGAGAAGATTATATACTTCAGGTTGGTGCCTTCAGGGCCCTGGACCTCCGCCTCCCGCAGCAGCAGCAGCAGCAGCAGCAGGGTTGGTGTGTGCGCACAAGGAAGCTAAGGAGGCCTCTGCGGCTGAGACTGGGGGAAGCACTTGCAGCGGAAGTATACTTGACTGACCTGGTTGCTGCCTCTAGCAGCAGCAGCAGCAGCAGCAGCAACACCTGCAGCAGCAGCAGCAGCAGCAGCAGCGTGGATTGCGGCAGCCCTTATGTCCCCTTGGTGTTAGAGGCTCTGGCTGGGGGGGGTTTTTACTTTGCTCTGTCGTTTGATTTGACTGTCTCCTTGCAGCAAGCGCTGCAGCAAGCAGGTGTCTCCTCTTCCTATTCTGCTGCTGCTGCTGCTGCTGCTGCTGCTGCTGCTGCTGCTGCTGCTGCTGCTGGGGAGGGAGAGAGTGACAAGGGCAGAGACCGCTTCTTTTGGAACCGGCAGCTGCTGCTGCCGCTGCAGCAGTATGCAGCAGCCTTTGGGGTCAAGGCTATTCAGGGGTGCGTCTCCTTTCTGTCTCCTCTCTGTCTCCTGCTGTCTCTGCTCTGTCTCCTCTTCTTCTTTTGCTGTCTCTGCTGCTTCATTTGCTTTCTCTCTGTCTCCTCTGTCTCTCTTTTATCTCCTCTCCCTCTCGCTGTCTGTGTGCTGCTGACGGAGCAGCCGCATTAGCTGCTGCTGCTGCTGCAGCAGCAGCAGCAGGAGATACCATGTGTTCTGCTGCTGCAGCAGCCGCTGCTACTGATAGTGCTGCTGCTTTTCTCTCCTCCTCTACTGCTGCTGCTATTGCTGCTGCTACTGTTGTCTCCGTAGCTGCTTCTGCTGCTGCTGCTGCGGTTTTTGTAGTACTGTTTTTCCTGCTGTTGCATTCGCTGCTGCTGTTGCTGCTGCTGCTGCTGCTGCTGCATTTCACTGCGCGTGCTGCAGCTGTCTCCTTGTTGGTTTGTCTGCAGGTTTGTGGGGTCGGGGTGTCTGTACAGCAGCAGCACATCGCTGCTGCATTTGCTGCTGATCTCTAGAAGAGACACTCTACGTATAGGGACTCGTTTTAATTGCAGAGGTTTAAGTAAAGATGGTTTGTCTTATTTTAACTGTCTCCTCCTTCTTTTCTGTCTCCTTCTTCTCTACACTCTCTTTTATTCTGTCTCCTCTTTCTTTTCTGTCTCCTTCTCTTCACTCTCTTTTATTCTGTCTCCTTTTGTCTTGTCTTCATTCTTCTGTCTCCTCCTTTGTCTGTCTCATCCCCCTCTTCCTTTCTTCTGTCTCCTTTCTTCTGTCTCCAACCCTTCTGTCTCCTCTTCGTCTGTCTCCTCTTCGTCTGTCTCCTCTCTTTCTTTCTTCTGTCTCCTTTTATTTTGTTTTTTTTCGTCTGTCTCCTTTCTTCTGTCTCCTCTTCGTCTGTCTCTTCTTCTTCCTTTCTGTTGTCTCCTTTCTTCTGTCTCCTCTCCTCTTGCTTTCTTTTGTTTGCTTTCTTCTGTCTCCTTTCTTCTGTCTGTCTCTTCTCTTTATTTCTTCTGTCTCCTTTTCTTCTGTCTCCTTTCTTCTGTCTCCTTTCTTCTGTCTCCTTTCTTCTGTCTCATTTCTGCTGTCTCCTTTCTTCTGTCTGTCTCTTCTCTTTATTTCTTCTGTCTCGTTTTTGTTGTTTTTTTCTTCTGTCTCCTCTTTTCTGTCTCCTTTCTTCTGTCTCCTTTCTTCTGTCTCCTTTCTTCTGTCTCCTTTCTTCTGTCTCCTTTTGTCTTGTCTCCTTTGTCTCCTCTTTTGTCTGTCTTTCTTTTCCTTGCTTACTCAGTTTATCCTTTTGTGTTGTCTCCTTTCTCTAGTTCTTCTGTCGTTGCTGATGCTGCTGCTGTCTCCTGCTGCTGCTCCTGTCTCTCCTTGCATGTGATGTGCTGCTGCCGTTGCTGCTGTCTCCTTTGGGTTGTTATTTCTGCTGTCGTCGCGCTGCTGCTCTCTTCTTAATACTTGCAAACACTGCAGCAAATCTTTTTGCTGCAGTTGCTGCAACTGCTGCTGCTGCATTTGCTGATGTTGCTGCAGTTGCTGCTGCTGCTGTTGCAGTGTCTGATGCTGCAGTTGCTGCTGCTGCTGCTGTTGTTGCTGCGCCTCCTAGGAAACGCTTCAAATTTTGTGGAGACAGAGCAGCTGCTGCTGCATTACTACCATGACCCTCTGCCCTCCTATGCTTCTACTTTTAGCAGCAGCAGCAACAGCAGCAGCAGCAGCAGCAGCAACAACAGCAGCAGCAGCAACAGCAGCAACAGCAGCAACAGCAGCAGCAGCAGCAACAGCAGCAGCAGCAGCAAAGGCGACAAGAGGACTTGGAGGCTGGAGATTCAGAGCTTAGTGCAGGTTCGAGGGTCAATACCTCTCTTGTGGCAGCAGCCGCCAACCCTTAGGTACAGCAGCAGCAGCAGCAGCAGCAGCAGCAGCAACAGCAACAGCAGTAGTGGCAGCAGCAGCAGTAGTAGCAGCAGACGTAACAGCAGCAGCCATAGCAGCAAGAAACATATGCAGCAGCAGCCATAGCAGCAAGAAACATATGCAGCAGCAGCAACAGCATCAACACCATCTTTAGCTGCAGCGTAGGGAGACGGAAAGGATGGGCAGAGGCTGGTCGCTTGCTGCTGCTGCTGCTGCTGCTACTGTAGCTGCTGCTGCTGCTGCTATTGCTGCTGCTTCTCACAGGAATAGCAATCCAGCAGCAGCAGCATCTGCTGCTGTTGCTGGATTCCTATGCAGCAGCAGCAGCAGCTGCCTGCAGCAGCGCCGCAGTAGCAGCAAGGCGTTTATTCTTCTTGTCATTTGTCTACTCTGCTGCTGCTGCTGCTGCTGCTGTTGCTGCAGTTGGTGCCCCATACCTCGGCTTGTGCCTGGCGAAGAGGAACAGGAAGCAGCTGCCAGTCTCCACTTCTCTTCTCTCGTCAAGTCCGCTGCTGCTGCTGTTGATGCTGTTGCTGCTGCTGCTGCTGCTGCTACGGCTGCTGCTGCGGCTGCTGGGAGGGTTCTCCCGTGGCTCAGGCTGCTGCTGTTTTGATACTGCAGCACCACGTTGCGTTTTTGCTGCTGCAGACTCTGCGGCATCTAGGGGCTTCTTCCTGTGTATGCTGCTGGCTGCTGCTGCTGCTGCTGCTGCATTGTTTGCGGCTGCTGCTGTCGTTGCTGCTGCAGGCGCTACGGGGATGTGGAGGCAATAAACTTGGTAGACAGGAAGGGGTGGCAGCGGGTGAGGGTGTCTCCTTTTGTCTCCTTTTAGCAGCACGTGCTGCTGCAGCAGGAAACACACGTTGCTGCTGCAGGAAACACGCACTGCTGCTGCTGCTGTTGCTGCTGCTGCTGTGTCTTGCTGCAGACTCTCGGGGAGAAGATGCAGCAAGTGCTGCAGCCCATCAAGCATGTTAACTACACATGGTGAGCAGCAGGAGCAGCAGCTGTAAAACTCGAGAAGCAGCAGCAGCAGCAGCAGTTGTTGCTGCTGCTGCACGGTTACTCCCCAGAGAGACAGCCTCGAGGCACGCGGATGTACCAGGCTACCACCCTGCTGCTGCTGCTGCTGCTGTTGCTGCTGCTGCTGCTACGCTGATTGCTGCTGCTGCTGCTGCCTCGTGGATGGTGTGCAGGTTTGACTTTCATGCGGAGTGTAAGAATATGCACTGGGAGAACCTCAGCAAGCTGCTGCAGCAGCTGCAGCAGCAAGTCGATAAGCAAGGGTCTCTCCGCGTTTTGCTGCTGCCGGAGGAGACAGCAGCAGCAACAGCACCCTGTCTCGTTCCTGGTTGGCGCGTGGGGCAGGTTGGTCACGTCCGCTCTGCTGCTGCTGCTGCTGCTGCTGCTGCTGTTGCTACTGTTGCTGCTGCTTTGTCGCTTCGGTTTGCCTGTCTCCGGCTGGGGCTCCTTCTCCTGCAGCAGAAGCTGCTGCTGCAACTCTGTAGTGCTGCTGCATCCGCCGCTGCAGGTCCTGCTGCAGCTCCTTTTAAATGTGCTGCCTGCCGCTGCTGCTGCTGTTGCGGCTTCTGTTGCTGCTTCTCTCGGTGTTGCTGTTGCTGCTGCTGCTGCTGCTGCTGCTGCTGCTTTGGTAGTAGTCCCTTTGTGTCTTTATCGCGCGGCTGCTTGTTGAGGTGTCTCCTCTTCCTTGCATGCAGTTGTGGGGCGTTGTATGGGGTTGTCTGTTTTCTTGTTTTGCGTACTTGCTGCTGCTGCTGCTGCAGCAGCAGCAGCAGCAACAGGCGCCTCAGCAGCTGCAGCAGCGTGCTGCGTGCTGTGTCTGTCTCTTTTTTGCTGCCTCCTTTCAGGTGTACAGACAGCAGACGGGGGTGCTCCGGATAAACTGTATTGACTGTCTAGACAGGACAGGCGTTGTTCAGGGTGTCTTCGCTAGGGCAGTGCTGCGCAAGCAGCTCGCTGCTGCTGCTGCTTCTGCTTCTGCTGCTGCTCCTGGTGCTGCGGGAGGTGATGCAGCAGCAGCTGCTGCTGCTGCTGGTCCACCTGCTGATACTGCTGCTGCTGCAGCAGCAGCAGCAGCGAATCCCTTCGCCCCCCTCACGGTGTCTCCTTTTGCTGAGGAGACATTCAGAGACCTCTGGGCTTCCAACGCTGATGCTGTCTCCATTCTCTATGCAGGTGCGTTGCTGCAGCCCTCAACAGCAGCAGCAACAGCAGCAGCAGCATCAGCAACAACGGCAGCAGCAGCAGCAGCAGTGTCGTTGTGGTTTGCTGCAGGGACTCCGGCTTTAAAGACAGACTTCACTCGCACAGGCAAACGCTCGTGGAGGGGGATGCTGGGAGACGCAAGAAACTCCTTCTTCAGGTATTGCTGCTGCTGCTGCTGCTGCTGCCGCTGCTGCTGCTGTTGCCGCCGCTGCTGCTACTGGGGCTGCTGCTCTTGCTACTGTTGCTCCTGCTCTTGCTGCTTCAGCTCTTCCTACAGCCGCTGCTGCTGCTTCTGCTGGTGGTCCTGCCTGCTGTTGCTTCTACTGCTGCTGTTGTAGTTGCTCCGGCTGCTGCTGCTGCTGCTTAGTATTCTTGAGTTTTGTTGCTGCTAGGAGTCGATACGCTGAAGCCCTTCATTAGCTGCTGCCTCAGGCTTTCTTTTTTTATCTGTGCCGCGAGTGCTGCGGCTTTGAAGCTGTTGCTGCTCCTGATCAGACCTGCTGCTGCCGTTGCTGCTGCTGCTGCTGCTGCTGCTGCTGCTGCTGCTGTTGGTTTCAGGTACTTTTTAAATAACTTCTATGATGGGTTTAAAGAGGATTGCTTGACTGTTTGCTGCTGCTCCTCCTTGCGGCTGCCGCTGCAGCCGCCGCAGCGCCCTGGGGGCCTCAGGAGCGTATGTGTTGAGTATTTGCTGCTGCTGATGCTGCTGCTGCTGCTGCTGTGTCTCTTGGGGCCCTGGGGCCTTGCTGCGGTGTCAACGGTGCATGCAGCAGGAGCTGCAGCAGCGCGATGGGCCCTGCATTTCCCTTTGCTGCTGCTGCATAGCGGTGTGCTGCTGCCTTCGCTGCTGCTGTCTCTACCGCCTATGCCTTGGTTTGCTGCTTCGCAGCAGCAGTCTCCATCGATGTTTGCTGCTGCTGCTGCTGAGACTGTCACGTTCTTGGGGGGCTGCTGTCTCCTTTTGTGTCTCTTCTTATTGGGGGCAGCAGCGTACATACACCTGAGATGCGCCTGCTGCGTTGATCTGCCGCTGCTGCAGAAAGAGCAGCAGCAGCAGCAGGTGCAGCAGCAGCAGCTGCAGCAGCAGCGGGAGCAGCAGCTGCAGCAGCTTAGAAAGAGAGTTTTACAAGGAAGAGGAGACACTCAAAGCCAAGTTGAGTGTATAGACTTTCGCAGTCTGTCTCCTCTCAGCAGAGACACAAACGGATAATAAATAAACTGTCTCCTTTTTAATAATTTCAATCTGTGCATCTTCTTCCCGCTGCTGCTGCTGCTGCTTCTGCTGCTGCTGCTTCTGCTGCTGCTTGTTCTGTTGCTGCTGCTGCTGTTGCTGCTGCTGCTGCTGCTTGTCGTATTGCTTGCGGATCTTAGTTAGAATTCGAAGCTGTAGCATGAGTTGCCTCAGCTAGCTGCCAGCTAGCTGCTTCAGCTAGCCATAGAAAAGCTAGCTAGCTGTCTCCTTTAAGAGAAAGAAAAAGGCGGCGTCTCTTTTAGAAGAGACAAGCAGCAGGTGTCTCCGCAGCAGCACAGACTGTCTCCTTTAAGAACAGATAAAGGCAGGAGATGTCTCTTTTAAAGAGAGAGACAGACTCCTGTTGCTGCAGCAGTGCTGCTGCCTCTGTCTGTGTCTCTGCTGCTGACTGTCTCCTCTATATATTGCTGCTTACTGTCTCCTTTCTTTCCTAGCGTAAGCCTTGCTGCTGAGGGCTTCAGTGCAGCACAAATTAGGGTTTAGGGTTTGGGGGTGAAGGAGACACGTCGGGTGCAGTGGACGCAACAGCAGCAGCAACAGCAGCAGCAACAGCAAGGATAGCAGCAGCAGCTGGAGTAGCAGCAGCAGCAACAGCAGCAGGAATAGCAGCAGCTAAGTAGCGCTTCGTGTCTTGCTGCAGCGCATGCAGTGTTGCCCTTGTCTTTTTAAAAAAGTGCTGCTGCTCTCTGAATTGCTGCTGCTGTCTCGAGTGTACGTACACCTCAACCCCCTGCAGCAGAGGCCCTCCAGCAGCAGCAGCAACAACAACAACAGCAGCAAAATGCATGCAACAGCGATGTGTGTATTAATAAGCGAAGGAAGATAATGAAGACGCCCCTTCTTTAAAACATAAATTATTATTATTATTATTATTTGTTTGTATTTGTTTGCTTAAATTTATCCGCTGCTGTTCGTTTTGTTATTCACACATACATAAAATAGAGATGAATTAAAGAGATATAAGCAAAAGAGATTATAAATATGCAGCAGTAAGCAGCAGCAGCAGCAACACCAGTACCAGCAGCAGCAGCAACACCAGCAGCAGCAGCAGCAGCAGCAGCAGCAGCAGCAGCAGCAGCACACTGGGCGTGGGTTTATTTTTCCAAGCCCCAACTCCTGTTGTCTTCTACAGCACAAACACAAAAACTCGTGCAAACAGCTAGCTGGTGCTGCTGCTTCTCCTGCTGCTGCTGCAATGCAGCAGCAGCAGCAACAGCTGCTGCAGCAGCTGCTGGGGGGCCCCGTGGGGCTTTAAAGGAAGCCACGGCTGCCGACCTCCTTGCAGCAGCAACAGCAGCAAGAAGCACAGAACTGCATGCGGTGTTTTCACTTAAACACAATTAATTAAATTAAACAGGCAGAGGCAAAGACATGCAGGTGCTTACTGCGCAGCAGCAGCGGCAGCAGCAGCAACAGCAGCAACAGCAGCAACAGCAGCAACAGCAGCAGCTTCTAAACATCGATAACTGCGGCTGGCACTGCGAGTTTGAATCGCCTGTTATCATTCTTGCTGCCTTTGTCCTTCTCCGCTGCCTGCAGCAGCCACAGCACTAGCTGCAGCAGCAGCAGCAGGAGCAGCAGCAGCACTAGCAGCAGCAGCAGCTGCTGCTGCAGCAACGTGAAGAGCAACCGTCCCTTGCGCTGCAGGGCGAGCTGAAGTAGCAGCAGCCCTTCTGCAGCTGCAGCATTGGCTGCAGCAGCAGCACGAACGCCTGCAGCAGCAACAGCAGCAGCAGCGGCAGCAGCAGCAGCAGGATGCTGGCGTCTTCTGCTGCTGCTGCTCCCCTGGGGGGCCCCACAGCTGCGTCTGCAGCAGATAGTAGAGACGGAGGTTATTACTTTGCTACTTCTTTACCTCCTACTGTTGTCTCTTGCTGCTGCAGCGTGCGGCTGAGGTGCCCATACACCCCAACGCTTGTCTTGGCGAGGCCTCGGTCTCTAGTATTCCTTCACCCCCAATCCAAAGGCAGCAGCAGCAGCAGCAGCAACAGCAGCAGCAGCAGCAGCAGCAGAGAAGGTTATGGCGGCACCTCTGCTGAGAGCGCCTGCACCTCTTCCTCTCCCACCGAAGCAGCAGCAGCAGCAGCAGCAGCAGCAGGAACGGCGGTTTGCGGTGTAGAGGCAGCAGATGAGGGTATTTTATCAGGGTCTTCTTACTTCTCTCCTCCTGTTGTCTTGCCTTGTGAGTCTGCTGTCTCTGCTCTTGCTGCAGTGCCCCGCAGACCTCTGGGTTTCCCCTCAGCTGCAGATACACCTGAAAGGAGACGGAGCAGCAGCAGCAGCAGCAGCAGCAGCAGCAAGGAGACACAGAAAGGGTTTGAAGACCTCCTTGTCCTCACAGACAGCCAGGAGCTGCTGCTGCTGACATACGACAAGACACAACGCCGTCTGCTGCCTCTACAAATCATCGATCTACGCGTGCGCTGCTGTTGCTGTTGTTGCTGCTGCTGCTGCTGCCGTTTCTGGTGCTGTTGCTGCTGCTGCTGTTGGCTTCTGGTGGCGGTGCTGCCTAAACTTGTTACGCATGCATTTGCTGTTGCTGCTGATTCTCAGCGTGTAGCTAGCTGCTGCTGTTGCACCTGCTGTCCCTGCTGCTTTGCTGCTGCTGCTGCTGCGCTTCTGTTGCTGCTGCCGCTGCTGCTGCTGCTGCATCTGTTGATGCTTCTACTATCCTGGTTCTGCTGCTGGTGTACCCTCAGCTGGTGCTTTTCGGCAGCCTCTGATTTGTAGTTTTAGTTAGTGATACGTGCTGCTGCTGCTGTTGCTGCTGCTGTTGCTGCTGCAGCTTCCTTGCTTCCGACGGATTAAGGGGCGGCCTTTGGTGGCTGTCTGTCCCCTCACAGGAGACATCGCAATCCATCAGTATGAATTTAGAGTACAGTATTTGCAGCGCCGTAGAAGCAGCAGCAACAGCAGCAGCAGCAACGGCAGCAGCAGCAGCAACGGCAGCAGCAGGAGCAGCAGCAGCAGCAGCAGCTTGACGGAGCCGAGCCGAGTAAAGCGAGTAAAAGAGCAGGTTCAGCATCCGCAGTGGCAGCAGCAGCCACAGCAGCAGCAGCAGCAGCAGCAACAGCAGCAGGAAGCAGCAGCAGCAGACTGCCCTTCAGGGCCCCCTCCATACAATCCGCAGCGCGTTGTCTTTGTACATGAGTTAGGAATATTAGACTTAGCTTTCATAGCCCCGCAGCAGCGGCAGCAGCAGCACTGCAGCAGCAGCAGCAGCAGCAGCAGGGGCATGCTTTTTGATTGCGGTTTAGAAGGAGGGGAGAGCGATGAGTGCAGCAGCAGCAGCAGCTGCTGCCAGCAATTGCTGTGTCTCTACAGCTGCCCTGCTGTTAGCAGCCTCGGCTGTTCTTCTCCTCTAGCATTACCTAGTTTCTTCTTAAAGCTGCTGCATCTTCCTGCTGCTGCTCAACCGTTCATTAATACAGACCCCACATCTTGCTGCTGCGGACCTCTTAAGGGGCCCCTGCAGCTGGCAGCAGCTGCTTCAAAGCTGCTGTCTCTTCCGCTCCCCCTAGGCGGGGTTGCTGTGTTTGCTGCTGATTCTGTCTCCTGGGTAGCACCGCATACACCGCAGAGAGAAGCTGCAGCACCTAAAGGCACCCTTGCTGCTGCTGGCCACACTACCAGCAGCAGCAGCAGCAGCAGCAGCAGCAGCAGCAGCAGCTTGAGCAGCCGCCGTCTTGCTGCTGCTGCTGCTGCAAAGGGACTCCGCGTTGTTTGTACGCAAACCACCTTCCCGGGCTGTGATGATATCGTCTCTGCTGCGCTGCTGTCTCCTCCTGCAGCAGCAGCAGCAGCAGCAGCAGAGGATCAAGAGCAGACGTGCGTCTTTGTAGCCATTGACGCCAGGGGAAACGTGCTGCAGGCGGTGCTGCGGGTCCCGTCTGTCTCCGACTGCAGCAGCAGCAGCAGCAGCAGCAGCAGGTGGGGTGAGCCGTCTTTGTCTGTTTGTTACTTGGGCAGGGCATGCGAAGCAACGCAGCTGTCTCCTCTGGGGCCCCACACATTTTTTGCTGCTTCTACCTGCAGCGACAGCTTGCTGCTGCATATCCGAGAGCCTCCGCTTGATGGCCCCTCCAGCAGCAGCAGCAGCAGTAGCAGCAGCAGCAGCAGCAGCAGTTTGAAGTGTAGGCGGGTCTCTGACGACGCAGGAGCGGGCTCTGCTGCGGCGGGGTGGCAGCAGCAGCAGCAGCAGCAGCAGCAAGAGATGCTGCTGCATGCAGCAGAGAAGCAGCGAGGGCGTCTCCGAGTGATTGAGGCCTTCAGCAACTTGGGCCCCATTGTTGATTGCTGCATTGCTGACTTTGAAGGAAAGGGACAGAGACAGGTGCTGCTGCTGCTGCTGCTGCTGTTGCTGGTGCAGTTGCTGCTGCTGCTGCGTTGCTGCTGCTGTGGCTTTAAGAGAGTTGAGTCGTTCGCTCGATTGTTTCTCAACGTGCTGCTGCTGATTGTGTGGTTGCGGCTGCTGCTGCTGCTGTTGCTGCTGCCTCTCTTCGTGTGTGCGTGTGCCTTCTGCACCTGCTGCTGCTGCTGCTGCTCTTGTTGCTGTTGCTGATGCAGCTGGCGGTTTGCTGCGGCAGCGGGCCCAGCGGCGCTGTGCGGTTTGTGCGCGATGGTCTCTTCCTGCATGCAGCAGGAGCAGCAGCACTGCAGCAGCCAGTTGAGGGTGTATGGTGTCTCCGTTTGCTGCGGGGCGGAGCCCCGCTGCTGCTAGCTGCTGTCTCTCTGCCGCAGCGCTCGTTGCTGCTGCAGTGCGAAGCAGCAGCTACGGGCAACCCAGCAGCACGTGAGGCGGCCTCCTGCTGCTGTCTTGATCCTTCCAGCTGTCTCTTTTGCTGCTGCTGCTGCTGCTGCTGTCTCACGTGGTTCTGTCCCCTTTGCTGCTGCCTCTGTCTCTTTCTCTGCTGCAGCTATCTCTGTCTCCGTGTTTGCTGCTGTGTCTGTCTCTGCGTCTGCTGCTGTTTGTCTCTTCTTCTGCCTCCCCTTCGATTGCTGCTGTCTCCCTTGCACACCGCATGCATGAATCTCCTTTCTCCCTTGCTGCTGCTGCTGCTGCTGCTGCTGCTGCTGCTGCTGCTGCTGCTGCAGGGCCTATTGTTGCTTCTCGGTCTTGGGCAGAGACTGAGGAAGGAGGACAGCTGGAGGCAGTCGAGAGCTGGGGGGCCTTCGTAACGACGCAGCCGTCTCTTCTTTGCTGTCTCTTTGTCTCGGGAGACAGCAAAGATGATGAACATGCAGCGCAGCAAATGCAGCAAGACACCAGCAGCAGCAGCAGCAGCAATACAGACACTGCAGACGAAGAAGACACCTCGGTGGTGGTGCTTCAGGTACACTTGGCACGCTGCTGCTGCTGCTGCTGCTGCTGCTGTTGCTGCTGCTACTGTTGCGCTTGCTGCTGTTGCTGCTACTGCTACTGTTGCGACTGCTGCTGCTGCTGCTGTTGTTACTGTTGCTGCAGTAGCAGCAGCAGCAGTGTGTCTCGTGTTTGTTGTATATATAGCGTTTTTGTTTGCTGCTGCGTTTGTGTTTGTTTGCTGCGCAGGTGCTGCAGCAGGGGGTGGTCGCCTTAGAGGCTCACGAGGCGTCTCTTTCGCTTCGAGCTGCGGTGTCTGTGCAGCTAACTGTCTCTTCTTCTGGTGTAGCCTCCCTTGAGCTGCAGCCCTGTCCCCTCAGTGCTTTGTGTGGGGCGCCTGCTGCTGCTGCTGCTGCTGCTGGAGCAGCAGATCCTTGCATCAGCTGCGCCTCGGTGGCGCCGCTGGCAGGTGTCTTTGCTAGGGGAATGCCTTCTGCTGCTGCTGCTGCAGCAGGAGATGTTTTGCTGCTGACGGCAGACTCTGTTGCTGCTGCTGTCTCTTTAAGCGGCAGCAGCTTCAGGTGTCTCGCCACCTGCGACTTGGGGTATGAGGCCTCTGCAGCACATGCTGCAAGGCTCGACATCTCTGATCCTGCATGTGCAGCAGCAGGAGACGAAGGGCTAGCTGCTGCTCCTGCAGCAGCAGCTGCTGCTTCTCCTGCTGCTGTCTCTGTTGCCCTCGCTTCTGTTGCTCTGTTTGATGAGGGCTCTGTGCGTCTCCTTTCGCTTCCTTCTTTGCAGCCTCTCATGGTCCTTGATGCATGCAAGGGTACGCTTCTGCTGCTGCTGCTGCTGCTGTTGCTGCTGTTGCTGCTGCTCCTGCTGTTGCTGCTGGTGCTGCTGCATGCGTGTGTGGGGTTATTGTTGTGTCCGTCTGTTGTTTTTTTGAGGTGTTTGTTGGTGCTGCTGCTGCTGCAGGAGTTGCTGTCGTTTTCATTTGTTTCTTGCTGTGAGCCTGTGTTGCGCTGCTGCTGCTGCTGCTGCTGCTTATTTGCTGCTGCAGGAGAGTTAGGGGTGTGGGTGACGTCGACTTGGTTGTGCTGCATGGGCAGTCTCTGTCTCTGTCTTGCGGGGCTGAGTAACGGGAGGGTGGTGCTCTTTCGTCTTGGGTTTGCTGCTGCTGCAGCAGAAGCAGCAGCAGCAGCAGCAGCAACAGCAGCAGCAGCAGGCAGCTGCATCGGGGAGGAGACACCGCTAGTCACTGGGGTGCATCTTAACTCGCTGTCTCCTGTCTCCTTGCGTCTGTCTCTGCTCTCTGCTCGTGTTGTCTCCTTGGGTGGGGGCCCTGTGCGGCTTGCTGCTCTTCCTTTGCTGCCTAGGCTGAGCTCGAAGCGCAGCAGACACAGCAGCAGCAGCAGCAGCAGCAGCAAGTCCCGCGGTGTCTCTCCTCGCCGCCGCTTCAAAGCTGAGATGCAGACAAGGCATGCTGTTGCATGCATCGTTTGCTGCTGCAGCAACCCAACTATTATTCACGTCTCAGCAGCAGGTCAGGATAGACACAGCTGCAGCAACTGCTGCTGCTGCTGTTGTTGCTGTTGCTGCAGCAGGAGCGACAGTTGCTGCTGCATCACCTGCAGCAACAGCTTGAGCAATAGCATTAAGAGTAGCAGCAGCATCTGCAGCAGAAATGTCCCTATACATCGCCTGCCAGCCTTATACTGCCCTCAGGTGTCTCCTTTTGTCTTTTTTTGTCTCCTTTTGTCCTTTTTTTGTCTTCTTTAGCATTTCTTTTGTCTCCTTTTATATTTCTTTTATATTTCTTTTATATCTTTTGTATTTCTTTTATCGTTCTTTTGTCTCCGTCTCTTTTATTGTCTCTTTCTGTTGTCTCCTTTTATATTTCGTGTGTCTCCTCAGGCAGCCTCACTTACAACCACGTTCCCTCTGTCTCGCTGCAGCACGTTGCTGATTTTAGCTGCAGCGCCACAGACCCCAGCCTGGGCCTTATCTGGGTTGAGGGTGCTGCTGCACCTGCTGCAGCAGCATCAACCAGCAGCAGCAGCAGCAGTAGCAGCAGTAGCAGCAGCAGCAGCGCAAGCGGTGGATGGCGCCGCGAATGGGAAGGCGCGCTGCAGCAGCAGCAGACGCAGCAGCAGCAGCAGCAGCAGCAGACGCAGCAGCAGCAGGCGCAGCAGCAGCAGCAGCCACCGCGGGGTTTGCTGCAGGTCGGGGTCCGTGAGGAGGCGCAGCGGCTGCACTCTTTGCTGCTGCCTGTGGGGCGTACAGTCGATGCAGTCTGTGCACTCGAAGGTGTCTCCGTTGTAGCTTTGGCGTGCCCAGCTGAAGTCGTGGTGAGAGGTGTCTCTGTCTCTGTCTCTGTCTTTGTCTCTTTCTGTCTCTATTTATCTGTCTCTCTCTGTCTGTCTCTCTCTACCTGTCTCTCTTTATCTGTCTCTCTGTCTCTCAGCCTCTGTCTCTGTCTCTCAGTCTGTGTCTCTCTCTCTTTATCTGTATCTCTCTCTTTATCTGTCTCTGTCTCTGTCTCTTTCCTTCTCTCTTTGTCTCTTTCTCTGTCTCCTCCATATCAAATAAGAGACCTGCAGCAGAAACAGAAGCAACAGCAGCAGCAGCAGCAGCAGCAGCAACTGGCTTGCATTTGGGCTTCTGTTCCGTGTCTATGTGTCTGTTTGCGGGAGGGGTCGTTAGGAGACAGTGCAGCAGAATCAGCAGCAGCAGCAGCGGCAGCAGTAGCAGCAGCAGCAGTAGTAGCAGCAGCAGCAGCAACAGCAGCTTGATGTTCTTCGATGTTTGTTGGTTTGCTGCTGGAGTTGGTGTGTGTGTGTGTCTCCTCTCCTGTGCATCTGTTTCTGCTGTAGACTGAATGAGTGTGGGGTGTTGCTGCTGCTTCTGCTGCTGCTTCTGCTGCTGCTTCTGCTGCTGCTGCTGCTGCTGCTGCTGCTGCTGTCTCCTTTGTGTCTCCTTTTCAGGGAGGACGCGAAGAGCCCAGCTGCATTTTGTTTTTAAATCCGAACACAAAGACAGTCGAAGGAAAGTTTGTACTGCCGCATGCTGCACATGTTCCTGCTGCACTTTGTGTGGGGCCGAAGCAGCTGTGCTGCAGCAGCAAACGTACATGCAGCAGCAGCACAAGCAGCAGCAGCACAAGCAGCAGCAGCAGCGCGCTACAGCAGCAAACCTCGTCTACAGCAGACAATGCAGCAGCAACAGCAGCATCTCAGGCACTTGCTGCTGCTGCTCCTGGTGCTGCTGCTGCTGCTGCTGCTGGAGGAGGAGGAGACAGTTGTGCCGAGCTGCTTTGTGTAGGGACAGCAGAAGTTGTGCTCAATGACTGCGTACCCCAGAACGGCTGCATACACCTTCTGAGGATATCCAGAGTCAGTTAGCTGTCTCCTTTCATCTCTTGCTGTCTCTCTGCATTTCTTTCTATCTCTATCTGTCTCCTTTCGTGTCTGTCTCCGTCTCTTTGCACTTCTTTTTATCTGTTGCTGTCTCTCTTTGTCTCTTTTTATCTGTTGCTGTCTCTCTATGTCGCTTGCTGTCTCCTCGTCTGTCTCCTTGTCTGTCTCTTGCTGCTTTCTTCTGTCTCTGCATGCCCCTTCCTTTGTCTCTCTTTGTGTCTCTTCCTGTTTGTTTCTGTCTCCTTTTGTCTGTCTATATATATAATATATATTAATTATATAATATATATATAGATATAATATATATATATATTAAATATATATATATATGTATATATTATATGTATATATATTTCTTTATTCTGTTGTCTCTTTCGGTCTCCTGCTGTCTGTCTTTGTTTTCTGCTGTCTCTGTCTGTCGTCTCCGTTTGCTTTCTGCTGTCTCCTTTTGTCTGCTGCTGTTGCTGCTGCGCGTCTGGGCGGTGTCTTTCTGCTGCTGCTGTCTCACGCTGCTGCTGCGGCCTCCACCTTTTACTGCAGCAGCTGCTGCCGCTGCTGCCGCTGCTGCTGCTGCTGCTGCTGCTGCTGCTGCTGCTGTTGGTGCTGCTAGTGTGGATGCATGGGTGTCTCCTTTGGGGTGTACATGCAGGTGCATGGGATGCTAATTATATCGGAAGCAGCAGAGCAAATGCGGCTGCTCTCGGGGGTGCAAGAACTGAGGGTATTCGATGGGATGATATTAGCTGCTTGCAACCATCAGGTAGACAAACGCTGCTGCTGCTGCTGCTGCTGCTGCTGCTGCTGCGGCCTTTGCTGCCTCTACTGCTGCTGGGGCAGCGGCGTATGCTGCTGCTGCGGTGACTTATGCTGCTGCTGCTGCTGTTTGCTGCTGCGTGGGAACCTTGAAAGAACTTCTCAGAGGCATCTGTTGGCTGCTCCTTGGGGCTGCCGATGCTGCTGCTGCTGCTGCTGCTTCCGGGTGTTCCTGTAGCTGGATGGTGGTTGCTGCTGCTGCTGCTGCTGTTGTGATATGTTTGCTGCTGCTGCAGCTGCGTCTAATTCAGCTGGGCCTTCCGTTCGAGGCAGCAAATGGAGACAAAGCTGCGGGGCGCCCTGCAGCTTCTGAGCAAAGGGGACAGCGACGCAAACACCAGCAGCAGCAGCAGCAGCAGCAGCAGCAGCAGCAGCGGAGGCGAGATGGCTCTAGCTTCTTAGAGGCTGGGGAAGATGCAGAGCAGGAGACCAGTGAGGGTCTTGCTGCTGCTGCTGCTGCTGCTGCTGAGAAGGGCCTGCGCTCTTTAGGGAGGATACAGATGCGCTGCGTTGCAGTGTTTGCTGCCAGCACCTTCATTGCATCTCTAGATGTCCTGTAAGCCAGCAGCAGCAGCAGCAGCAGCAGCAGCAGCAGCAACAGGGGTATAGATGCGTGGGCTGTCTGTGGAGTTGCCGAGCAGCCGCCTCATGTGTTGCTGTATCCTTGCTGCATCACTAACTTGTCCCTCCTTGCTGCAGCACGTGTGTCTGATGTCTGTCCCCTTGCAGCAGCAGCAGCAGCAGCAGCAACAGCAGCAGCAGGAGTGTGTGGGTTTGCTGTTTATGAGCAGGGAAGACAGGCTAATATGCGTAGGCGACATGATGTCTTCTGCTTGTATGGTGGAGTGGCTGCCTAAAGAACAGACGCTAAAAGAAGTAGCCAGGGATATGCGATGCGCCTGGCCTCTGTAAGGCCTTCATGCTGCTGCTGCTGCTGCTGCTGCTGCTGCTGCTCTGGCTGCTTCTCTAGGTGCTACTGCTGCTGCTGCTTCTGCTGCCGGTCTGGCTGCTTCTCTAGGTGCTACTGCTGATCTAGCTGCTTCTCTAGGTGTGGCTGCTTCTCTAGATGCTGTTGCTGCCGTTTGCTGCTGCTGCACTAGCTGCTGCTGCTGCTCTGTTGCTTGCGTTGGTTCATGTTGACTTCTTCCCGTTGCACATACAGTGCCGTTTCTCTTCTGCTGCTTGCTGCTGCTGCTGCTGCTGCTGCTGCTGCTGCTGGGTGTCTCCTCAGAGCTGTCTCCGTCCTAGACCCCAATTCTTGTCTCATGGCTGACGGTGAACAAAATTTGTGGGTGCTGCGGCGGGCGCTGCCTGAAGGAGTTTTAAAGGGTCTCTGCAGCAGCGAGGGGCAGCGCTCTGCTGCTGCTGGTGCTGCTGCTGCTGCTGGTGCTGCCGCTGCGGGTGGTGGCGCTGCAGCAGCAGACGGCGCTGGGAGCAGGGGCCCGCAGCAGCAGCAACAACAACAACAACAGCAGGCGGGGGGAAGCGCAGCAGCAGCAGCAGCTCCATCGCCTGCAGCTGCAGCAGCAGCAGCAGCAGCAGCAGCAGCAGGAGGGGACACCTCAGGAGGCTTCAATATTAGCGATGCTCAGCGCTTTCGTTTGTTTCCTTCTGCTGCTATGCAGACGCCCGTGTCTGTAAATAAATTTATCCACGGGGGTATTACGCTGCAGCTAGAAGAAGGCCTGTTAGGAGACAGTGGAGGAGAGCAGCAGCAGCGCAACCTGTCTCGTGGCTCTCGAGGAGCAGCAGCAGCAGCAACAGCAGCAGCAGCAACAGCAACAGCAGCAACGGCCCCCAGCGGTGAGTCATTAGGGGGGCTGCTGCAAGACGCGCGTGGTTGTGGGCTTCTTCGTGGTATGAGCAGCAGCAGCAGCAGCAGCAGCAGCAGCAGCAGCAGCAGCAGCAGCAGCAGCAGATACAGCAGCAGCAGCAGCAGCAGCAGGCGGGAGATATCGTGGAGCTTATGCTGTCCTAAGTCTACAAGGACGTGGGTCTCTGCAGAAGGCAGTATCGGAGTTATTTTAAAGCTGAAAGACACAGAAACATTTGCAAGGATGGCTGTCGTAGAAGAAGCAGTCGGCGATATGACTGAGTGGATCGGCTGTACGTACACCCCAACTTCAACCACCACCTACATGCATGCATGCATGCATGCATACATACATGCATGCATATATGTATATCTATGCATGCATGTATATCTGTGCATGCATGTATATCTGTGCATGCATGCATGAATATCTGTGCATGCATGGGTGTTAGTGTATAGCTGTGCATGCATGCATACGTGTATGTATGTGCATGAATGCATGCATGCATGTATACTTGCATATTACTTATATATCCCTGCATGCATGCATGCATGCAGGCAGCGGATTGAAAGGGGCTGATGGTGTTGCTGTTTTTTTGTTTGTTTGTGCTTGAGGCTGCAGCTCCTGCATTATTTATTATTTTATTGTTTGGTGTTTTTCTGTCTCTTCTCTGTGTCTCCTCTTTTTGTGTTGCATGCATTTTTATTTGTTTGTCTGTTGCTTGCTTCAAGTGGCTTAGACCTGAAGCAGCAAGTTGCTTCCGTTGTTGCTGCTGCTAGTGCTGCTGCTGCTGCTGCTGCTGCTGCAGCAGACATGGCTGGATAGCAGCTCTGCAGTCTCCAGCTCCCTGCAGTCAGTGAATGCGGTATTAAACTCCTGCTTCTGTTGCTGCTTGTGCTGCTGCTGCTGCTGCTTGTGCTGCTGCTGCTGCTGCTTGTGCTGCTGCTGCTGCTGCTGCTGCTGCTGCTGCTGTATGCTCAGCTCGCGTAGGGCCCCCTAGCTACGGCGTCAGTCTAGATGGGTCGAAAGCCCCAGCAAAGGGTTTTATTGATGGGGATGTGTTGGAGCAGCTGCTGCTGCTGCGGCCTCGAGAGCAGCGGGAGGTTTACAAACTTGCTCGAGTGTACGTGTGTCTCTGCTGCTGTGTCTCCTCTGTCTCCTTCTGTCTTCTTTTTATCTTCTCCTCAGCTTTGTCTGCTCGTTCAGGGGATAGGGCTTATGCACATACAAACACTGCTAGCAATTGCTGCTGCTACTAGTGCTGTTGCTGCTGCTGCTGCTGCTGCTGCAACAACGGAGAAGATGTCTCTTTCGCTGCTCAGTTCGTTCGTTATGTCTGCTGCTGCTGTTGTTGCTGCTGCTGTTGCTGCTGCAGCACCGCTGAGGAGGTTGGGTTGTCTCTTCCATCCCTAGACGAGCTGCTGCTGCAGATAGAAAACCTGCGGCAGCTTCACTGAGGGGTGCTGCGGTGTCTCTGCTGCTGCATGCGCACATCGAGACAAGGAGACAGCTAAGAGAAACAGAGCAGCACCTGCAGCATCTGCATGCAGCGTTGCTGCTCTTTGTCTCGCAGTATGAACAAGACAGTGGGGGGAGGAGCTGGGGCTTTCTCTTGCAGCAGGTTGCAGCAGCAGCTGCTGCTGCTGCAGCAACATCCCTGGCGCTGCAGCTGCAACAATTTCGCTGCTGCTGCAACGAGGATGCTGCTGTCAACCTAGGTGCAGCAGCAGCAGCAGCAGCACGAAGACTGGCTGCAGCTAGCGTGTAGAGATGCTGTATGACTGCCGTTGATGTTGTGGGGTTGGGGGTTGTGGGGTGTCTCCTCCGCGGTGTCTCCAAACCCCTGTTGCCCTACCTTAGCCACAGTCCCTTTGAGCTGCTGCTGCTGCTGCTGCTGCTGCATTTGAGTTGAAAAGAAGCAGTCATGCTGCAACAGTATCAGCCATGTTACTGCAGAAGCAGTCATCAGCAGCTGCAGCTGTGTTGCTGCAGCAGCAGTGATACTGCAGCAGCAGCAGCAGCAGCAGCAGCAGCTGCAGCAGCAGGAAGCCCCTTAGGCTTTTTAATTAGCTCTTAGCCTGTTGAGGGCCTCAACAAATATTGGGGGGACTTCGAGCTGCTGCGCTCTTAGTTTAAATAAAGACAAAGACAAAGAGAGACAGATAAAGAAAGATATTAGAAGACGAAGAGAGACAGATAAAGAGACAGAGAGAGAGAGAGACAGATAGCAAAGAGAGACAGATAGAGATAGAGAGACAGATAGAGACAGAGAAAGAGTAGCTCAGATAGATATAAATAGGCAGAGAGAGACAGCTAGAGACGAGGAGACAGAACAAGACGCGCCCCCACGCAGGCGACAACCAAAGCCGTACTAAGTGAGCAGCAGCAGCAGCAGCAGCAGCAGAAGCAGCAGCTGCAGCACGCTGTGCGTAGACTGGGGAAGAACAATAAAAAAGAAAGCGCCAGTAAATATCAATAGTGTTCTGTCAACTACGTGAGCAGCAGCAACAGTAGAAGCAGCAGCAACACAAGCTACAGTAGCAGCAGCAGCACAAGCAACAGCAGCAGCAGCAGCAACAGCAGCAGCAGCATGTTGTGAGTAGACTGGAAAAGAAATAGACAGCGTCACTAAATATTGATGGAGTTCTGTCTGCTGCTTCGGGCAGCAAGCACTCAGCTGCTGCTGCTGCTGCTTCTGCTGCAGCAGCTGTCGCTAATCTGCCTGTTGTTGCTGCCTGCAGTGCCCAGCAGCAGCAGCTAAGCAGCAGCAGCAGCAGCTAAGCAGCAGCGGAGGCAAGCCCCTTCCGTCTGCTAGCGCCTTTAAGAGCAGAAGGAGACAGCAAGGAGACAGCTAAATATTTATCTTCTCCTTTAAAGAAAGAGACAGGCGCTGCGCATGCAAAGGAGACAGCATTAGCTGCGCCTCCTCCGTCTGTCTCTTTCTTTTGTCTCTTTCTCTGTGCTGCAGCAGCTCTTGTCTGCTACAAGCAGACAAACAACTTATATGCGTGCAGCTGCAGCAAAGAATCCCTAGCGAAAGCTGAGGAGACACCCCACGTGTCTCCTGTCCCTTGGGCCGTACGTAGCCCTTTCATTGCTTCAGCCCCTACAGCAGCAGCAGCAGCAGCAGCAGCAGATAGAGGCGTGAGCAGCAGCAGCAGCTGATAGGGGCGCGAGCAGTAGCAACATCAGCATCAGTAGCATTAGCAGCAACAGCAGCATCAGTAGCATTAGCAGCAACAGCAGCATTAGCAGCAACAGCAGCAAGACGCCTACCGGTTTAAGCGGCAGTGTCTGTCTCTGTCTCTGTCTCTGTCTCCTCTTGAGAAGAAGAGATAAAATCTTCTTCTTCATCTGACTCTGCTGCAGCACCTGCTTTTACTCGTCGCTGCCAATTCCACGCCTCGCTGCCCTGAGACGCGCGCTGCGCCTTCAAAGCCTGAAACTCTGCATGCAGCAGCAGCAGCAGCAGCAGGAATTGCAGCAGGAATTGCAGCCCCAGCAGAAGCAGGAATAGAAACACCAGAAGGAATAGAAGCAGCAGCAGAAGAAGAGCAGCAACGGGGAATGCAGCAGCAGCAGGAATAGCAGCAGCAGGAATAGCAGCAGCAGCAGCAGGGATAGCAGCAGCAGGAGACAACGGAGGACAAAAGAAGACAGCTACGAAGCAAAAGGAGACAGCAAAGCGACAAAGAGATAAAAACAGAAACACTAAAAGGAGACAGCCAGGAGACAAAAAGAAAGGCAAGGAGACCCTCAAGATAAACAAAAGGAGACAGACAGAGGAAGAAAATAAGAGGAGACAGACAAAAGGAGACAGACGAAAGGAGACGGAGAGACCCCACAGGGGGGCAAAAGGAGACAGCAAGGAGGCAGCAAAGCGACAAACAGAGACAGCAAGAAGAGACAACAGGAGACAGTAAGAAGAGACAAAAAGAGGAGATGAGAGGGGACAAAAGGAGACAACAAGAGGAGACGAGAGGGGGCAAAAGGAGACAACAAGAGGAGACAAAAGGAGACAACAAAAGGAGACAAAGGAGACAAAAGGAGACAGCACCTGGAGACGCCATTAGCTCCTGAACTGCAGCGTACGTCCCCTCCTTTTTGTTATATTCTTCTAAAGTCATTTGGTTGCGGCAATAGCGGATAGGCGGAGGGTTTACTGCACAGCAGCAGCAGCAGCAGCAGCAGCAGCAGCAGCAGGAGCAAGCACAAAGGAGACACCATGCAGCAGCAAGAAGGAAGCAACGGATAGCACAAACTAGCAAATAAAAAAAGAAGACAGCATAATGCAGCAGCAACTCTGCTGCAGCAAGTAAAAGGAGACTCCTCAGTGCAGCAGCAAATAGAAAGGAGACAGCGGAGACAGGAGACAGACAAGAGAGACAAAAGACAAAAGGCGAAGGGAGAAGGAAAGGAGACAAAAAGAAAGAAGAAGAGAAGCAGAGACAAAGGAGACAGAAGAAGGGGAGACAGAAGAAGAAGAAGAGACAGAAGAAGAGGAGACAGAAGGAGACAGAAGGAGACAGAAGAAGAGGAGACAGAAGAAGAGGAGACAGAAGAAGAGGAGACAGAAGAGGAGACAGACAAAGAGACAGAAGAGACAAAAGAAGCTAAGAGACAAAAGAGATAAGGAAAGGAGACAGAGAAGAAAGAAGCAGAAGAAGAGACAGAGAGTAATAATGCTTGGGGTGTCTATGCACCTTCTACTTCTCTTTCTCTTTTATATGCAAGCATCCCTTTAAGTAATGCGCTAACTAGCAGCAAAGAAAAAACAGTAAGACATCCAACAAGTGCTGCATCTAAATAAGCAAATGAAGACAGAGACAGCAAATAAGGAGATGCTGCTGCTGCTGCTGTCCCCTCCAGCAGCAGCGCAGCCTCTCGCAGCCTCTCGCCCTGAATAAGGAGACAAACAGCAGCAAAAGGAGACAGAAAAATATAAATAAATAAATAGAGAGAAGAAACAAATAAATAAACATAAATACAGGGATTTAACAAAGGAGACGAACAGCAACAAAAGGAGACAGCAAATAAACAAATATAAATAAAAAGATGTAGCAGAAGAAAACACAAATAAATATAAAACAAACAGACAAAACAAGAGGAGACAGCAGAGACAATAACAAATAAAAAGAAGGACAAAAGGAGACAGCGACAAATGAATAAAGAGACAGAGACAATAGACAGACAAATAAGCAGAAAAGGAGACAGAAGAAGAGACGAAAAGATATATAAACCCTAAACCCTCAAAGACTATACACAAAAAGAGATAAACCCTAAACACTAACTGGAAGCACACCTCCCGCACATACACCCCAAATGCATGCATACACCCCACATGCATGCATACACCCCACATGCATGCATACACCCCAAATGCATGCATACACCTGAAGCACTTACAAGGCGGAGAGCAGACGGGGAGACAGGAGAAGAGGAGACAGCAGACACCGCTCGCCGCACCTCCACATGCAGCCAGTGAGAAGAAGGGAGCCCATACAGCACCCCAGCAACTGCAGCAGCAGCAGCAGCACAAGCAGCAGCAGCAGCGGCAACAACAGATGAGAGCTCAGAGACACTGTGCAGATCCGCCTCCTTCAGACACAACCCGCAGGGAGCTAGCTAGCTACGTCAGCTAGCTACCCAGCTAGCTAGCAACTAGCTAGCCAGCCAGCTAGCTAGCTAGCTAGCTAGCTAGCTAGATCCAGTGTGGATGTTCTTACCTGCAGCTAGAAGAGCGAGAGCAGCATAGAAGCACAAGTCGAGACAGAAGCAGCAGCGGGACCCCACACTCCTCTCCGAGTGGCAGCTGTCTCCTGCTGCTGCTGCTGCTGCGGCTTCCGGGGAACAGGGGCTCCCCGAAGGCCCCTTATCTGTCTCCTCTGGCGAGCCTACGCTGGTGCTGCGAGCTTCTGCTGCTGCTGAGGGCGCCTGCGCTTCCGCGGTCTTCATGGTGGTGCTGCTGCTGCGGCTGCTGCTGCTGCTGCTGTTGCTGCTGCTGTTGCACTTGCTGCTGTGCTGGTCGTATCGAATCCGCGCGTAGGCGTGAAAAGATAAAAGGAAATTTTAAAGACAGAGAAGAAGACTCCCCTGCTGCTGCTGCTGCTGCTGCTGCAGCAGACGCAACCCCCAGCTAGCGCAGCAGCAGTTGCAGCAGAAGGGTGTTGTCTTTAAAGAGACAAAATCAGCAAAAAGACAGCAGTAAAGGCACGGAAAGAATCAGCAGCAGCTGCAGCAACCGCAGCAGCGGCAGCAGCAGCAGCAGCAGCAGGAGCGGCGGCAGCGGCCCCTTCCGGTGTACACGCAGCTCCCACACAGAGCGCACGAAGTAAAGAGCGAAGAGAGATAAATCTCTCTTTAATGCTGAAGTTGTTGCTTATAAATATCTTTGTTTAAAACAAGACGAAAGAAGAATAAGAACAAGGAGAACAAACAACAGCAAACAGAGACAAAC